CAAAAGGACTCACTCTTTAAGTAAACAGCATAATTCCTAAGGGAAGTTTCCATACTTTGAAGAACGTAGACTGTATTTTGAAGCAAAAATGGTTAATTCGAAGCTGTTGGTTATACAGATTATGTTAACTATGTAATTGGAATGTGAAGCTTAGGACAACAAATGTCTTTCTTAAGAGAAAATTCCACATTTTGAGAATACTTAAGTCAGGCTTCAGAGCAAGATTGGTTAATTCGAAATTTTTTGTGAACGTAGTAAGGAGCAAGGTCGCATCAACCATACAACCAAGTATACAATTGGAGCATAAAACTAGATCATGCCAAATAGGGAGAAAAAAACCCTAGTTTTATTGATATGTGAGTAATTACAATAGAAAAACCTATTTGGCTACAAATTCAATCTCATAAAAATAAGGAATAGAAAGAGTAACAAGTTTATTAAATTTGACCCAACAATGTTCAATGAACTTATGTTCTTTCTTTATTCTGATTTCTATCCTATCAAAGTTGGGTTGTTGCAGCTGGTATGATCTTATTTGGTGAAAAAGTTGTTTAGCTTTCACCTTGAATTCTGTCTCTTTCAAGCCTTATTCCATTTCGTCTATATCGAGATCATCCCAGTATGCTGAATCTTTATTTTTGAAGTCATTATATTCTTTAATGTTTGAATCCGGTTGATTGTTATTTCATCCTATGAATTACTGGTAGCCAAAGAAATTTTGTACCAGTGAAGAAGGAGTGGAAGTTGATCCAAAAATGTTTGAAGTTTTGCCTGGGCGATGGGGTTGAGAACATGACCCAAGTCATAACATTGCAGGCTCATTAGAAGTTCTTGAGAAGAATCTCATCTACAAGAACATTGAAGGGCAAGTGAAAGAAGACAGCCAGAAAAAGTTGAGCTTGATATCGCTTAAAGGCAGTTAGAAGAGCTGGAGGTTGGTAGGAAGGAAAAAATTGATTCTCGAAAAGAGTAATTTTCAATGCTTTCATCCAATAAGGATTCTAAGAAAGAGGGGGGCAGAGGGATCCAATCTGAAAGAAGAGGGAAACTAGGGGTTATTCATGTATTCGAGCCAGTCAGAAGAGCAAAGTTTCGCCCTTTTGGCCAAGAATAACAGATTGTATCCCTGTGCTTCGTCAAGATGAGGAGATTCTCGCACTATCTTTGTTGGCGTGGAGGACGTGTACCATGCCACAAGCAAGTTGTCCTCCAGACTGTGTCGGTGATCAATGGGTACATAGGGGTAAACCACTGAGCTTCGAGCAAAAGGGGGAATAGAAAGGGGATCATCGAATTCAACAAATCGATGGTGAATCCACTCCCTTAATTTAGGTTCATCAGGCTTTGGCCAACTTTCCCAACTAGTAGACCTAGAGGAAGAAGAAGCAGATATGTCCCATGTAGAGAGTGGTGGGGTAGAAGAAGAAGCAACTGTGCCCCATGTAGAGGATGGTAGGGCAGAAGAGGAGCTTCCAAAATCTATTTTTACAAATGCTTGATCCAAGGGTTTGTAGTTGGCAAATTTTTGGTCTAAAGATTGGTAATTTGCAAGAGCTTCCATGACTTACATAAATGAAGACGGATAGGTGTAACCAATAAATACATTGAGATTCTTTCGAGGCCTGCAATCATCTTTCATAGACTTCTCGTATGGTCGATCAATGTACGAGAATGTGTGATTGGCCATTGGGGATGTACCAGTCTTTTCGTCTACTCAAAGAATAGAAATGCAAGATACAAGGATATAATGAAATTCATTACTTCATTATTCAAAAACGATTATCCTACCATAATACACAGAGTCCGTGCACGTCCTAGAACATAGGTGGATTGCACTAGTTCATTAATATCACTAAGTCTTGGGTATATTAGTGCGGGGGGTAATGTTGGCTGTATAATTTGTAAAAGTCAATCACAATTTAACACGTGACACGAAAAAGGCAATTTGGGGAGTTAATACAAGTTGCCAATCAAAGTCAGACACATGACAGTTTGTATTGGTAATAATAGATCTGCGTAACACTGGAATAATAGAGAAATACAAGATGATGTGGCCTAACGGTTACTCACAAAGTTTAAATTCAAAAATCATGAAGGAAGCCTAACTGCAAGAATGGCATAGTAGGACTGACTGTGAGAGAGCATGTTCTGCAATCATGGAAGGACACTTCGACGGTTATCATTAAAGAGTATAAATAGCAGAGAAGGCCCCAGAATGCAAGACCCAGACTCAAATAAAAAAACCAATTTATTTACTTCATTTTTTCTTCCAGTTTTTACAGTTCTTTACATTTCTACACTTCAATTCCTGAACTGCCCTTCATTTCCTATAAGTAGTTTCAAATAGCTTGTTGCTGTAAACCTCTACGAGACTGAATCAGATCATTGTAAGTTTTCATTCACTAATGAAATTCAGATTCTGAAATTGTTCTTCACTTTTTGTTATTTACTAAATTCTCCTAAACAAGCCACCAGTAAAAGTCCTCTTCATCGAGGCTGAGAGAACTATAACACAATCGTCTGATAATTGATTGGCAATTAATATTCTGTAATGGCTAATTAATCCTTGCTGGCACGCTTAAAATTACATTATTAACCTCCGAAAGCCAAAAAACCAACACCTCCTAACAACAAATCTCTTCGCTTCTCCGGTAAACCTATAGACACAGTCTGTGTCAGAATCAGATGATTTCCTTGTTGGGTTTACTTCTTGGTTTTTTTCTGATTTCTACAGATTTGAGAAATTGCTAGCTTACCCAACCAATTGCTTTGCGTTTTTGCTTTTACTTTCACTTTGGGTGTTTGGCTAGCTGTGGCCCAACAAATAGAAAAAACACATTATTTTTACCATCAAACCCAATAAATCTTTTTTTTTCGAATTGAAAACCCAAGAAATCAAACACATGACAAATCAAACCCAAGACGGTATCAAACACAAAGGTTTGCCGACTAACATCGCCTCGCCGCCCTCAACCTCCTTTGTTTCGCCTTCGTCTTCGCCTCTCTTTGTTCGCGTTTTCTCTATTTTGAAGATTAGGGTTCTCAGCAAATGAGAGAGAAAGCAAAAGAGGTGAAATGAAAAAAGTTCAAAAAATTTTTTTTTAACAAAACGATGTCATTTTGTTGACCACCACAGAAAATATTATAGACTACCACGATAGAGGATCTGAACTTTTTTGGTAGGATACAAAATTTTCTATCAAATAAATTATCAAGAGATCCACACACCTCGCATTTATGTGAGATATTTGATTATTTATTTAGTAAAAAATTTAGGGCCTATAGCATTTTTCATGTGTTTATATTAGGAGTTTTTTAGTAAGGATTTAAATAAAGCCTTGTTTAGGAATAGACTATTTTAATAATTTTTTAACTTTTTTAGAAAATATATGCAAAAGAGTAAAGAGAGTAATGTGATAACTTATAGTAACTTTTTAAACCTTTTGACTAAAATTGAAAGTTGCCAAACAATGCCTAAGTGTATTATTTAACCAAGGTAGTAGTGCACTTGATAAAAGCTCGAGGGTTAAGACCTCAGGTCTCAAGTTCGAAATTTTTTGGGGTAAGGTTAAGCCTCAATTTGTTGTTACCATTACACTTAGTATGAGTTTGATACTCTTCCGCTGTGTAAGTCCTGATTTAAACGGAACTTGGGGGGTCGGGATAAGTTCTCAGGTTATAGTCTTTTACTCAGAACGGGTAATATAACACCTTGGTAATCTCTGCAAGGGGCGTTGTCTTAGATCTGCGGAGACCAGGAGAATTTTCCTGTAACAAGAAAAAAAAAATATTTATTTGAGTTATATCTTCTTCTTTCCTTTATATATATATATATATATTATATATTATAAAATGTTAAAATGTACGTTAGATAAGTAAATTCTATTAAAAAAAAAAACAATTCAGCATCAAAGACTCAAAATAAATTATAAAATATTTTACATAATAAAAAATATTGGATATTCGTTTTTGACATTCTTGACATTGCTTTGAAGTCGTTGTTTTTGACATTCTTGACATTGCTTTAAAGTCGTTGTATTAAAGGCTTATTTTAAAAACTTTTAACCCACCTTTTTTCTTACAAAAATTAATCAAAAATTCAAAAAAAATCAAAAAAATTTAATTTTTAATCATTTTCCCAAAACATCCTAAAATATGACTTAGGTCTCTTTTGGGAACAGGCTAATTTAGTAATTTTTTGATTATTTGCTAAAATATGAGCTAAAAAAAATTAGTATGTTTAGGATAACTTTTTGACTTTTTACGAAAAGATGTGCAAAAAGTAGACAGAAAAGCGAATCTTTGATTTTTTGGTATAAGTTATTAACTTTTTAACTAATTTAGTAATTTTTTAATTTTTTGACTAAAACGAAGCCTTAGACTACCATTTTATCTTGTTGTACGTGTTTAGCCTTAGACTACCATTTTATCTTGTTGTACGTGTTTTTAATCATTGTAAAAAACATATAATTCTCATCATAACTATTTTCTTAAGAGAATACTTTTTCCTCAAATCATTTGAAATATACATATATATATATATATATATATATATTGTTTAACAAAATTTTTCTTGTAAATTAAATAATTATAAAAAAGTCAACTCATTCTTTCTAATTTTTTACATATACTTTTATAAAAAAAATTTAAAAAATCAATTCCAAAGCAAATTCTTAAAATTGTATAAATTTTGTTATTAAAATAGAAGAAGAAGAACTGACCATATGTGGCCTATTTTGGAAACTAAGAAAAAAGTCAGATTATTGATTTATTCAAGTCACAACACTCCTTTATATTTTTACACGTTTAAAAAAAAAAAAGTAAAATAAAAATTAAAAAATTGACTTTTTTCCTACTTTCTAGACAAATATCAAATATAGACCGGACAAATGATCTGAATGTGTTTTGGGTGCAAATTTGAGCCCGATTCAAATTTAAGTGGGCTTTAATTTACCGAGGCCCACAAAAAAGACTATAAAGCAGGCCCACGAGAGTCCATCCCCAATTCCTTCATCGGCCTCGACACGAAGCCTCGCCGCTAACGTCCATGGCGGCAGATCGCAGCGTATAAAAACTCCTTCAAATCAAAATCACAAAATTGCGAATTGAAAATCGCAATTCGAATCGAACACATCAATGGAGGACGACGAAGCAGAGATTTACGATGGTATCAGAGCTCAGTTCCCTATAACCTTCGGCAAGCAATCGAAGCCCGTAACCTCTCTCGAAGCCATCCACAACGCCACCCGCCGCACCACCACCGCCGCCACCACTACAGATGGTAATAGCAGCAAAGACTTTCCTTCTGTCTCCTCTTCCTCCAAAGCCTGGTTAAACTCTCTCAGAAACCCTAACCCTAGCTCTAGCTCTAGCTCTCGTAATCGCTCTAACCCTAACCCTAGTCGTGCGAGTGATGTCGATGATGCTATTATTGGCCCGCCTCGGCCGCCGTTGGATTCTGATTCGCTTAATGGTGGAGAGGACGACGGTGTGATGATTGGCCCGCCTCGGCCGTTGCGTACAGATGATGAGGATGATGATGATGAGGATCGTATGATTGGACCGCCTCGGCCAGTGGCTGGTGATGACGAAGATGATGATGATGGGCAAATGATTGGGCCGCCTCCGCCTCCACGGGGTTCGAGACTGGATGATTCTGATGCGGAGGAGGATTCCGACGATGGTGAAGAAGAGGGTGGGTATCGGATACCTCTCAGTAATGAGATTGTTTTGAAGGGTCACACTAAGGTATTAATTCTTTACTCTTCACTAAGATAATCAGTAATAATGGGCGTGTTTATTTCGAATCAAGTTATTTAGGTTATGCTTGTATTGTTACCAAATACCCAATATATAATGGCACAGTTTTGAGATTATTTTTCAATGTCAAGGAGGATTACAGAAGTGCTCATTCTTTTCCCAATAAAATCAAGTATTTGGATTGCATATTTCTTCAATTTTTGCTCATGTGACATAAAAAAAAGCGAATATCTTTGATGATTTGGTAATTATATTGTGAAAAAGGAAGTTATCTTGATGATTTGCTAATTATTTGGATTGCCTAAGATCGGAGTTTGCGGTATAATCTTGCGAATGGCTGTTGGTTATGCTTTTGGCAGGTTGTTTCAGCTCTTGCTGTTGATCCTACGGGATCTAGAGTCCTTTCTGGTAGTTATGACTACTCAGTGCGTATGTATGACTTTCAAGGGATGAATGCTCGTTTGCAATCCTTTAGACAGCTTGAACCATCTGAAGGTCACCAAGTTCGCAATC